TTTTCTTTTTTTTTTTTGGATGGGATGGAATGATATTTGGTACATAAAATAATACACTATTACAAACAAATTCTAGACTCCTGTATAAAGCGTGCATTCCTTTACAATAGCTTCTTCAATTCTCTTCCGAAATCATCCTGAAAATAGCGAAACACACGTGATTTAAATACAGAATAAAACAATGCGACCAGTGTTTGACAGACTCCACGCGGTTACAAGGGTGAACAGGCCTTTTTTTGAAATTAAAAGCAGTTCTAATTGTTGATACCGATTACGAATTGGAGACAAAGAACTTTTGTGCTATCATATTTGAAGATCAAGAGGTAATTTTTTCTATCCTATATATATAAATTACGCTCTTACGAATTTAATTAATTTACTTTTTACAAATTCATATTGTAGGTTGCACAAATAAGTGGGTTGATACGTTACAAACAGTTAAGCTTATTCCGACATGTCTTTAAAGAAGGCGACATGTATTGTATCGCCAACTATGGATTGAAACCCAATAATCGGCGGCAAAGGGCAACCCCACACGATTGGAAGATTGTGTTCATGAGTATTACACGCGTGATGAAATGGAATGGAAGTTTTCCATGAGCCTCTATAATTTTTTAAGATTAGATCCACAATAAAAGTTTTATTGTAGTTTTCTTATAATTATGTGATAATAAATTTCATTCCATGTCATTAAGAAATTTCTTTTTTTTTTATTCCATGTCGATTGTTATTATGTTAATTTTTTATTCAAATATATGAATTTATTCGATTCTAATTGTTGTTCATGTATTATTTGATTTTCCAAACAAATCAATACTATACACAGAATATTTGTGCTCTACAATTAACAAACGTGTAATATATATTCACCTATAGAATATTAACTAATTGGGAAAAATATCCAAACAAATGTATATTCATACAAATATGTTACATTGTCATCAAATTATAGTATTATTATTTTTAATTCGAATATTTGTTTATTTATTATAATTCAGACTTATTATTGGATATGTTCGAAAATATTCCATTATTTAAATAAATCAAATTAATGTTAAATTTTAAACAAAATAAATTAGAATTAATTTTAAACAATTTTACTTACTGTGGATTCTTACCAATTGGGTCCCAAAGAAATTTCGGTTTTTTTTTTCCGTCATTTAAATACAATAGTCCATACTTATTTCTGATTTTTTATTCCTTATTTGAATAATTAAATTCAAAATTATTTTATACAATTTCACTTAATGTGGATTCTTTAACAATCTTATCCCAATTCCACTTCCTTTGTTTTAGGAAATGATTTGGAAGAATCTTGTGTTGAAAAAATCCGATTTTTTTATTCCTTAATTAAAAAACTTGATGCAAAATTATGTTATACAATTTCACTTAATGTGGATTCTTTAACAATCTTATCTCAATTCCACTTCCTTTGTTTTAGGATACGATATGGAAGAATCCCATGTTGAAAATAATCCGATTTTTGTATTCCTTATTTAAAAAATTTGATTCAAATTTTTTTTTATACAATTTCACTTAATGTGGATTCTTTACTAATCTTATCCCAAAAAAATTTTGATTTGTTTTCCTAATATCCGATTTTTTTCCTTTTTTGAAAAAAAAAAATTATTTAAATTTAATTTAAACAATTCCACTTAATGTGGATTCTTTAAAATTCTGATTTTTTATTCCTTATTTACAAAATTTGATTCAAAAGGATTCTTTAACAATCTTATCTCAATTCCACTTCCTTTGTTTTAGGATATGATATGGAAGAATCTTATATATGAAATCCAATTTCCATACAACTAACATTGGTACTCATTATATAAACACCCTTCCCCTCAATCAAATTTTTAGCGAGTGTTTGAAGCACGTTAGTACGAAACAGAGAAAAACAATGAAGAATCTTATGTTGAAACAATTTAATATAATTTAAATTTAATTTAAATAATTCCACTTAATGTGGATTCTTAACAAATTATAGATTTTTTATTCCTTATTTAAAAAATGTGATGCAAAATTACAATTTCACTTAATGTGGATTCTTTAACAATCTTATCCCAATTCCATTTCCTTTGTTTTAGGATACGATTTTGAAGAATCTTATGTTGTAAAAATCTGATTTTTTATTCCTTAATTAAAAATTTGATGCAAAATTATGTTATACAATTTCACTTAATGTGGATTCTTTAACAATCTTATCCTAATTCCACTTACTTTGTTTGAGGATACGATTTGGAAAAATCCTATGTTGAAAAAATCCAATTTTTATTCCTTATTTAACAAATTTGATTCAAAATTATATTATACAATTTCAATTAATGTGGATTCTTTAACAATCTTATCCCAAACAAATTCTGATTTTTTTCCGTTATTTGATTACATAGTCCATACTTATCTTAAACAATTCTACTTAATGTGGTTTCTTAATAATATGTTCCATACATATCCGAATTTTTTCAAATGAAGGAATAAAATAATATCCGATTTGTTCCTTAATCTTTTAATAATTAAAAAAATTAATAATTAAAAAATTCGGATGTTAGATAACCTTTGTGAAATCATGTTTCCATACAAATACCGTTTGCAGTCATTATATAAACCCCCTTCCCCTCAATCAAAGTTTTATACATCCATCTTTCATACGATAAATTATCGATCAAATCATCTTTTTCTTTTACCTTTCCCTAACTATTCATGCCTCCTGCTTTTGGTGTGATTAAGGATCTCAAAAGAACTAATAGGTCGTTCATTAAGCTACAAGTGATTAGAGTATTCCAACGCGAAGAGGAAAAAGGTTACAAACAACCCCTGGAAATTATCATGCATGATTCCGAAGTACTATGTAACAATGTTTTATTAATAATATTATTTCGTAGATATTTTAATTTTACTACATTATTTAATATAATTGTACGTTTTCAATTACATGATAGGGAGGATGAATCAATGCATTGGTTCGTCCGATGCATGTTGCTAATTTCATCAATGAAATAGACGAAGGGGCCGTCTATGTCCTAAAGAAGTACCAAGTTGAAAGCAATGTTGGCATTTACCAAACGACAATATGTACTTGGAGGCTTGTGATCAATAAGGATACTAAATTTATCAAGTGGCCTCATCCATTCCCTACCTTTCGTTTTGTCTTTAGAGATTTTGCAACTTTAATGGACATTGACAATGTTTAATTGTTGATGAAAGAATGTTGTTTGGTAAGAAATTTATTATTTAATTCTATTTCCTAATTTCTAGCGCATTTAATTCTATTATTATTATTAAATTCAATTAACCACATATAAGTTTATTAACATTACTATGTCGTTTTTTTATAGATGTTATTGGAGTGGTTGTTGAAATTCAACCAATTCAAATGAAGACTGCCAGGGGCGTGCCTACTCAAATGGTTGTTTTCTCCCATATGAACTTGGAGTAAGTAAATCTAAATTATATATTGATGCATGATAAATAAAATTGTTTTCAATGATTATTGAATTTCTTTTTAAAAATTTAATGAAAAAATTGTGTTGTTACATGGGAATTAACAACAACCAAATTAAGATGTATTTTAAGTAAATCTGAACGTTTAACGATGAAAAGCCTGTATATTGTTTCTGGAAATGTAATTTGTATTAGTGTGGTATTCTTCTGTGTTTGGGAAATTCTCTATTTCCCTTTTATATTTACACACCATGATTATCTGTACAATAATCATTACATTTGAAAGGTCAAAGGCGGTCTTTGATGGCTTCTCTTGTTAGCTTGCCACTTGGATAAGCGTAATGATGAATCATGCTGAGTTGTCACCGCCTTACCATGCTGTGCTGGCATGTTATAGATATCGGCCCACCTAGTTATAACCGATACGTCGTGGCTGACATGTAGTAACCGACATGTGTTGACCGACATGTGTTGACCGACATGTGATATCGGTCAACTTAGTGAGGATGTCGGTTTCTGTTGAACCTCTCATTGCGTGATCATCTTGAAGCTGGTGGAAGTGTCTCGTGCTTGTATGAGCTCTAATCATCATCATATTGGTCTCGATCAACGAATTAGTGTCACCTAACCCGACTTATAGAAAATGATATCAACAAATTGTTTTATGTGATTTGTTTAGAGGGAAAAAAAAGAATTGTACCCTTTAAGACAATATGTTGATCAACTAATTGCTATTAAGCATCACTATATGAATGAACAACAACCATTTGTCATCATCATGCAAATGTGCTGTGCTAAGGTGTTTGATGGTAAGATTTTAATAAATATATATTACAATTTTACTATTTTTTGTATTTTTTATTCCACTAATTATTTTAATTAATTGTAGACGAAGTTCGAGTAAGCACATCAAAGGATGTTACTCTTATCAGTTGTGTAGATGTCCCCAAAATTCGTGAATTTAGGAGGAGGTATAATCACCCTAATATTGTTTTTATGTTTATTTAATTAATGATATATTCCTTATATATTATTTATTCATATTATATATTACTGAATTTTAAGGTTGGCTGCGGATAAATTGAGGAATATAACTTTGGTGTCCAATAGCTCGATAATTGTGAAAACCAAAATTCATGGATTGAAAAAAATCTTAAAAACAGTTAAACTTCATTTCGCAATTTGAAACCCTATTTCATAAGAAGCCACGGTGATCCTCTATTTTTCAGACTTTTATTTCAATATTTATATTTATATATTGAACTACTGATTGAACAACAGATTACCAACACTCAGAAGATTGCTGAATCGATTTAAAAAAAAAAAATGTTTCATAAATGGGGGATCTCACGCATGTATTGGTGTAAGATCCAATTGAAGACCAAAGGATTCACATAGTTTGTGAACCGATTTTAGTATAAAACACAAACCATTCACGATTTGAAATCAGCTTACAAACGATTAACGATTCACATAGATTGTTGGATCATTTTCATATTCTGAATATATGTATCAAAAAACACGAATACAAAGTGTAAAACATCCTAAGAACATCTTAAATGAACATAAATTGGAACAATAAAAAACGAAAAGATGCTCAAAGCCTTCGATCTACAAAAATCGTGAATGGATTTCCACAATAGATGTGGATTCTGATTTTGATAATAGATCGAAATTAAATTTGAATTAAACAAAAAAAACGAACATCTTAAAATTAAAAAAAAATAAAAAACAGAAAACATTGAATTCCTTCGATCTATAAAAACACGTAGACGAGATCCACAATATAGGTGGATTTTGTTTTTTATCATCGATTGAAAACATTATTGAATTAAAAAAAGGAAAAAATGTTTGAAAATACCTAAATTACAGATTAATAAAAATATTACAGAAGAACATGAAAAACCTTAAGATCTACCAAAACGTATATAGAATATATAAATGATCTGTTGATTTTGCTTTTATTTTTCATCGATCGAAAACGGAATCTTAAAATCGAAAAACCAGACGATTTTTCCAGAAATGTGAAGCGGTGGAGAGAGAGTAGAAAAGAGAGAAAATCTCGAAATGAAAATGGACGAACCCTACTTTTTCAGACATAAACGTTATTTATATTTCTCAACGTAATTTGCAGCCGTCAGATCGCAAATGATTAACCAGAACCGTTCGATCTTAAGTTTAATCAAATTTGGGCCGATCTTTTATTACTGATACATGCCTGATTAGATAGTTATTTATGATTGAACTTATCTTTTATCCACTTGGGCTTCTAATTAATCCAAACAATAAACAAAAGGTCCATTAAACTTGATGTGCATTTTATAACGTATGTAATCATCCTAAATATATCAACATTGTATTATTGTTTGTTTTTATAAATTAATAAAATAATTACCCATAAATTGACAATCATTTTATTTAATTTTAATTTATTAGAATTATTTAATTTTACTAATTTATTTACATATCGAATACTTACAGAATTACTATTGATTGCGTTACACAAAGTTAATCCAACAATTTATATCCCATTATTTATTTTTTTTCTTCATTTTTACAGGTTCTATGAGGTCACCGATTATCAAAGGATCGTCTTTTATTGCTCAACGAAACAATAATCAATCAAACGGTTCTTCA